GTTAGAGATAACAGAGACCCCAGCTCTAGGTGCGTCATGTGCTCAGGAAATTCAGGTGCATTTCTTAGCTACAAGCTATTAACTGTGGCTCTGTGGATCTAGCTGAAGAGGATAGTACCACAGCTGAAAAATCTCAAAAACGTCTCCTTCTGCTCATCAGTATCATGTATGTTTGGCTCTGTTTCAACCAAACATTATTAATCCAGAAACTATTTTTGTGGGGGTCCTGAACCATTTGATGGTGTGGTGAATGTGAGGAATGATAGGTGATGCTGCCTGTTGCGTGCGTATCGCTATCACGTGAGGCTGTGCTATCTGAGCAATTTGCCCAGTGGCTGCATGAAGTGAACTGGAGACATTTGATTACTGTGCAATTCCGTAAATGAAGGGTTTGTAATGGAGGTATGGTTTCCGATTATTTCTTGTTGAGAGCATGTCTCAGCAGTCCTTCAACTTCAAGAAAGACTCAGATGATTAAATCACATGCCCCATGTCCTTACTACCTCTCCCAAGCTAGTCACAGGGGAACGGTGTGGGCACTGCAATGGTCCTGGAGAGTGAAAATGAGGCTCAAAAGAAAATGTTTGCTGCTTGGCTTCATCAGAAGACCGTCTGGGTTTAGTTTTGTCCTAAATTCAGACTGTGCTGCATCTAATTTAGCTCTTTCAACAGTGATGGGTCTCTTTTCAGTAGTGAATCTCAGAGCACCTTGCAAAGGTAGTATTGTGATTGCTCTTTTTTAAAGACGAGGAGACTGAGGCCCAAGGAGGAAAAATGTGTTTGCTAGTGGCCTTTAATTTGTATTTGTTGAAATGTGGAAGTTCTAAGATGGATGATAGTCAGTTCAAGCTTTCACTGTAGATAATGAACCTGTGCTTGAATCATCTAGTGTCCAGACTGTTTGGACCCTTGTACAGGTCGCAGGTTTCTCTAGATCGTTTCAGGAGAGAAGGCTGAAACTCAACCTACTGCTCACTGTGGATCCATATTCACATGTAATTGAGTTTGGATGGTATGGACGTGCACGATCAGTGCCAATCTGTCAACATGTTATCCTGTAAAATCCTGAGGTTATATCACCAACCACCACAGAGAAGAAGATCAGTGGTGGGCTCTGTTCAACAAGTGCTTATCGTTGGGTTTGGTGAGAGAATATAAAATAAAGAGGATGCCTGAGCTCATCCTAGGCTAAGAATGCGTGGGTACACCACACACGAGAGCGCGACACTCTGTGATGGACTGTGACAGTGCAAAGAACATACTCTGCGTTATGCGTGACGTGCTACTGTTAAAACATGGTCTGCGGCCTGTGCACCACAGAGTCTAACACAGCTGCTACCTTCGGTTAAATTGGTGAGAGATGTTTGGGTGGTTGTACTGAAGAGAAAACACAGTCCTCTTAGCTCGTGTAATTGGAGATGAAGGAAGGCTAGTAAAATATTTGTCTATGGTAGGGCAATGCCATCTAGTTACCAGTCTACCAGCTGTCAGGCTCCTGACTCACATGTAATGCAAACTTGACCATTTTATATCCTCCACTTTACAGCAAAATGTCAAAGTCCTTCTAGGTGTTATGGGCTTTTTTTTTAATATTGTCTTATTGCGGTGTTTCCTAAGAGCACCTTTGAGGTAGTATTTTCAAGGTATCAGTGCTGCCTGGCCCTTGAGTGCACTCAGCGCTATGAAGGGACCCTCTTCAAAGCCATCCTGAGTGCAGGCTGAGGTCTGAGAGGTCTCCAGAACTTGAGTGTCAGAAACATTTGTGGTGAAAACCAAGGTCAGACCTACATGCCTTTGGGAACGTTGGATATGTTTATCACTGGGGTGGGGGAGGAGGGAGGGGACGGATAGGGAATGTTTGGTTTTTGCTGGGGTTTTTTTCTTCCTTTAGGTGGAAGGTTTCTCTGTGTTGTTCAGTAATTGCTTCAGGTGGAAAATCATTTCCCACCTTGCAGCAAAAGTATGCCTGGCAACGAGAGAAGTGTTATAAGAGCAGCACTTCATACAGTTGATTTTCAGCCAAAGTCAAGTCCCTCCGGGAGCAGTTACAACTGGTGAAATTTTTTAGCAAGCTTGAAGCTACTCTTGACTTTGGGGGATGAGGAAACCTCTTGCTCTCTGCAGGAGCTGCATAAGTAACATCATCACATGTCACTTTTTCTTCTGCCTGGACACAGTTAAGGTGGGCCCTTGAAGCTCTCAGATCCAAGCTGGAGCAAGAAAGAGGCCGTGCTGCCATAGTAAAGCAAAAGGCTTACTATAAATAACATGTGAATTACTTAAATCAAGGAACTGTCTGAATGCTTCTGTGACCCATTCTTCAGCCCTAGAACTCCCATTTGTTTTTGATTTATAGCATCAATATTCTTTGCAGAAATAATCTTCGGGACTTTAATGAAGGAATTTCAAATTAGTAAGTATCAAAAGGGACTAAATGAAAGTATTTTAGCAAAGCACATATTGATGGAAATCTGGCAATTGCATGCTTTTGGAAAAAAAAAGTTTAAAAGATCTATCAGCCACAGTGCCTTTATCTGGAGGAATCACACTGGCTACAAAATATAGACATATCAGAATCTATTGATCACTCTGATGCAATCATTATGAGTTAAAACATGTAATAGTGTATTGCTAGTGTATTGTTCATGGCCAGTCTTTGAGGAGCCCAGTTGTAGCCACACAGGGCCAGTATTTTTAGAATCTAAATAAATGCCTATATTTTTCATATGTTCTGAAAAAAAAGCCCTCAGCTGATGTGAACAAGTTAGAATATTTAGGCTATCCTCTTTTTTTTTTTAATCAGGGACCCATATATTCACTGAACAGTTGAGCTTCTGATCTGTTTTTTTTTTCTTTAATCTTGTGCCAGGTGTTTAAGAAGCGGGCAGCAGTGGTATTTTCGGTAACCTGCTTTCAGCATTATTTGCATACCTTTGTGTTTTTCCATGGTAATCAATGCTTGACCATAGTGGAACTTCAGTCAGTAAATTTTATGTGCAACTGTTAAAGTAATTTTATTTTTAATGAGTCTGTTCTAGGGATTTTAATGTCCCTTTATAAATATTTATATTTTCAGTATGTCTTCATTTAATTGAAAAGGTTCTTCACATCATTTTCAGACAACCTCAGGTAGTAGGCGTAATGACATATCAACACTCTGACCTTTTAGCTTCTGGATTTCTATTAGTTCATCCACATTTTGCTTGTTCATGTATATTATATTTTAGTTTGTATATGATTTTCCTCTATGGGCTGTCGGAATGAAGGGTGTTTTCCATACAAACACCTTAATAAACTGGAAAGGAAGAAAATATGCTATTGCATACTAGCAGCTGTCATGCAGACTGTGTCTTGAATATTGTAATCAGTGTGCACTGCTACTAGAAATCCACACTGAAATAATGTTTGATATTTTCCTGGTCATCAGTCAGAGGGATGGTCTCGAGTCAGATTCATCAATACAGCAAGAGCTTCTGATATTCATGAAGTTGTTTTGAAATTACTTCAATTATGTATCTAAAAACACTGCTCATCATGATATCCTGTTGCCATCACTTTTGTTATAAATGTCTTCCATGAATTTCTTCTACTGCCAGTGTCATTTTCCACTGGTGTAAAATTCACCAATGAATTATGGCTATGAAGAGATGGGAAGCAATTGTTGCTAATTCCATGGAGAGCTTGCTGGTGCAGGCTCCTCCCCTAGTAATCAGCTATTAATGTGATTTCTACCATTGCACCTTAATAACTCAAGCAGCTGGCTACCTACTGATTCCTTGGGAAATAATTCCACAGCAAACAGGCTTCGTTGAGAATTTTTTACCTGATGCACCATCTTCTTCTTTATTCTCCTTTTTTCACTTTCTTCTCATTATTTATAGGTAACCTGTCTGTCTAATATCCTTCTTTTTGCTTATTTTCCATAGCTATTGTTAGCTGATCCAGGCGTATTTATTTCTTTTAGCCTTAAGACCCTATTCAATTTCATTTTTAATTTCTGATCTCCCTTTGATTTGTCCAGAACTTTCTGGCACGCAAATACAAAGCATGTAGTACTGTATTCTGCTTTGCACAATGAAAGAGTATTATTTTTGTGCTCTATGATTTGGTATCTCTATGAATGTACCTCAAAATCATGTATAAAACTGAATGGGTTGAATATACATTCATGGCACTTCAGTGTGAAATAGATGGTAAACATGTCTACTTTTTGCCTGAGTGAAGCCAAAACAGTCATTCAGAAAGGACCTTGCAAGAAATTATGGTGAGGACATTATAGATATTAAAATATCCTGTGATAAAACCCTGATGCTGAAAGGTTACCTATCTCTGTCCACTGCAGAGAGGCTATTTAAGACACAGTATACGCTAGTACAGGTGTTAGTAGCTTATTTAAACCAGCATCAAGAAATATTTTAAGTTTCCTCTCACAAAAATACTTACCAAAGATCTTCAGAATTGGTTAGCCTGTGCAAATCATTCATATTTCTAAGTAATCCTGCTGATTTAATGATTTTAATTTTTGCATTGTAGCCTTTTTATTCCTTTCATTATATTGAAAAATCTGCAGTATTGCAATAAACCCCCTGTAGTTGGTGACTCTGCTTGCTAAAAGAGCCCTGTGCAACACGAGTTAATAACACGTCAGTAACTTACACCGATTAATTCAACTTCATGTAAATCACACTAACAACTTTTTGCTGCAGCTCAAAGGTGATCAGGAAGATGCTACAGCTGAAAAATACTGCCTTTTAAGTTTATATTGGGTAGGTTTTTGACTTCTTAAAATTCTGATAGTTGTTACATACTTCTAGAAGAGCCTCGTGGAAACAGGATGTTCTTTTTGTTACCTGTCACTTTTGAAATAAAACTTGTTTTGGTATTAGTGCATGTGGATCCATATATGATAATATTAAAAATATTAATTCAACTGAGTGTAGTATACTTGCAGCTCAGCCTTAGACTGAAACTTAGTAACGTGTATGATTTTGTTTTCCCAGCCTATACAAATCTTTGTCTGAAGGAATGAGTCTGAAGGACCAGCTTAACTGTACTTTCGGTACTTCTGAAGGTGGGCTGCAAGGCAGGGGGGATGTTGTGACCCTTACCTATCGCCAGATTGAAGATCTGGCAGCTCAGCTGCAGCAAGCTCGGTCAGAGCAAAAGGACACAGAGCTGAAGCTCCAGAAAGCCCTGGAGGCTTCACGGGAGGCCAATGAAAAAGTTCAGAAGTAAGTCGCTTGCCTTCTTTCAAGAAAAATTGCGGTTGGAAACCAAATGAAACGTTGTTTCTTCTGGTATTTTGTCTATGACTGAAAGTGCGGCAGTACTCAGAAAAGGTCCTCTAAAATTATTCCTTCTCTGTCAGCCGTTCAGCTCGTTACCTACTCGGTGTGAAGCCGATCATTTTAACAGTTTTATAGTATTATGCAAGTCAGTGTGCCTGTCATTGCTGTTATGGAAACTGCTTTCTACATGTGCAAGGCACAGAGGAAGTGTTTCCGTCTCCTATGAATGGTTTTCACTGTCTTTTTACTCGTGGCAATCCTATGGCAACAGAGTATTTGCCTTTATAATTGCATGGTAGAATATTAAAGTTCTCATTTTTGGTCTGTTATGCATCTGGCAGGTTTCATGCCACAGTAAATGCTGATGGGGTTGTTTACGGGTGGCTTCAAAATCTCACTGAAATCAACAGGAAGTCTCTGAGTCGGTGAACAGAGATTGTATTCTCTTTCCCATCATAAGATTCCCTGTTAAAAGGTTACTGAACTCCAAAACCTGAAGTTCATCTCTACTGAAGTCCATATTGTCATGTTTGTTACTACTGGCACATAAGCCTTTGAAAGTCTGATTGCAGGGACATAGGCGAACATGTAGGCAGAGCCTCTTCACAGTCTGGCACCTCTCATCTCTACATTACATTCATCAGCTGCAAAATACGCCTCTCTCACCCTTCCAAGGTGGTCGGTGCTGAACTGATGCAAATTTTTCTGTCTGTCCATATTTGTCTTCAACTTTAACATCTGCAGCATATTTCCAGAGTAGCCAGAAATTGGCGTATAATATATTGCAAGGACCTAACAAGAGTTCTTCCTGTTTAACAAAATACATGCTGAGTTCTCCTATTAAAAAAATAAAGAAATTATATTTTTATATTGTTAATTTATTTGTAACTACATAAAATAAGATAGGTATATATATGAAAATACATATTTTCAGTCATCTTTTAAAAACATCCAGTGGTTGTTCGAGAATCATTCAAATCTTTATTCTGAACACTTAGATATATTTGAAACTTCAGCAGATGCACGCTTGATAAAAATAAACCTACGAAAAATAATTACAGCATGTTAAAGAGAATATTGGCTAAACCTTTCTGTACATTGTTTAAAGTTGTTATTTCATTTCATTTTATTTCTAAATATTTACTAACCATAAATATTTAAGTGAAGGTTGGTTTTTGGTTTTGTGTTTTTTTAGTGAAACAGTCTTGTTTAATCCTGTGTAACCAGGGTGGCTAGAGTAGAAGTGCAGCCACAACCTGAATTAAAGTGGTGGTGATGCACTGCTATAGCGAAAAGAATTTACACAATTTAACATGCTCAACTACTTGGGAAAATTTTGGTCAGGTTAGTTTTCATTATTGCTAAGATCAGACCACTGAGCCTATAGCAAAATTAAACAATTGGGTGAAGTCTTTTGATGACAATAGCATGCCCTTTTTACCAAGAAACTGTGGAAATGCTCTGTGCGTCTTCCCAGCACCCGGAGTCATCCACCCCCATCTTATAATTCAACCTGCAAACAGATTAAGCAGCTGAGTTTGTGGAAAGTGTGTTTACTTTGAGCTAAGAACCCTTGTGTGACACTATAGAGATTCCTCTGACACCTCTGGGAGAGCTACACAGACAGTTCGTACTCATCAGCAGGGAAACCGGGCTGAGAATTCCCAATTTCTTTGTAACCTCAACCGCTTCATACAAATCAGTGTTTGGCAATTAGGCAGGAACTCATTTGTTAGCTTAGCTTTTTATTTCAAAGATGTAGGATGTTCTACATTTCAAAAAGGAACTGACAATTTATAAACCGGTCAACAGAAAGGCTTCTTGGTATTAATTACAGTAGTCTTAATTAGCACTGTCTTAAGAGGATGCTTATTGTAATTTAAAATGTAACACTACGATTCATAGCCTAAACAGGGTTCTAAAACGTCTGTTTTCTTGACTTCTTTTAAATGCTCAAGTAAAATTGAATTCTGACATACGAGGGAAGTATTTTTAGCGGTTATATAAAGTAGTTTCTCAGTATTATTCAGTAAAATATCTGAATAATGTAGCAACAGTTAAAAATCAGAAGAGGAAAATAATTATGAGCTTCATTAAGAAAGAACATAATTAGAATAATTAAAATAATGTTGAAAAAGGATGTACTTTGTATCTTCAAACCATGTTATTTACTGGTGTTCACTATGCCTTTGCTAATCTGTCCTCTGGCAACACTAAAGAATTTTTTAATATTCTTAAAAACTTCAGTGTTTGCATTCAGCATCATATGCAGAGCTTGAAATAGAGATGTAATTTCTCCACGGCATTGCCATCATGTCAGCCATTTCTGCACCCACCTGCAATTGTTGCTTTCTAAACGTGAGATCCAAGTCAGAATAGTTTTCCTGTGCTTTCTGTCATGAGACAAAGCATCTAAAAAATTTCTGGATCTTATCCCACATGAACAGCAGCTGTGAACCAGAAGGGGGATATACTGGAATCTGCTTATAGTGAACTTGGATATAGTAGAATTCTGTTTATACTGAAGTAGGGTGAACATCTCACATCGGCTCACTGCAGTGTGAGATATAAATTGCAACTGTGTGCTCTTGCCTGCGAAGATGATTTGTGGTGTGAAACAGGAAATGTTGATGCTCAGAGAGTGACCACACAGATTTAGCAGAATTTGTTTGAATCTGGTTTGATTTTGAAACATTAACAAGATGCAGATTAGACTTTTAAGAGAGCACTATTCTAGTTTATAAAGCAAATACACGTTTTAACTGTGTGGTGTATGTAAATAAATACATGTATGCGCACACATAGCAGTATGTATTTATTCAATAGGAAATTATGATGATCTGCGCTATACTTAATATTTTTAACATATACTCTGTAGAATGGCCATGACTATAATTTTCTATATTTAATTAATGTTTCTAATTCATGGTTACAAACAAAGAATTAGGACAGCGGCGCAGAATTCACCAGGAGTGTTGGCATAGCGCCACAGGCCCCCTGCAAGTTTGTCCTGCCAGAGAAGCCAGGAGCCAGCTGGTGCAGCCCCAGCAGGGAAATGGGGCTGACCTGGAGAAGGTGGCTGGAAAAGCCTGTGAATTAATTAATGCCTCCGCCAGCAGAGGAAGCAAGACATTTTAAAACTGTCCTTCCTGCTGGAACCTCTGGGATTGAGGAGTGGCTACCGATGTCAGTGAGATCAGAGGAGGTTATAATGTAACACCAAATCAATATTAGCCAATTATCAGTAAAGGTGGAGGCCACTTTTGATGTGTTTTTTCCAGGAAATGTTCTATTTTTCTGCAACAGCTTTGCAGCTGGAGTGAATTTTAATGTAATTTTTCTACTGAGGGCTTCTATTTTTTCTCACAATTTAATGACTCTAGCTCAGTAAAGCATAGCTCTCTGAGTGTGAGCACAGTCACCCTTGCACACTCACATAGCTGTGTAAGGTGGCAGCGGAGAGTGCGCATGTAGAATTTCTATGTAATCCTCTAAAAGTAAACACCAATCCACAAAGTAATGGTGCAATGCTAATATATACAGGTATGAAAATAAGCATAAATGGTGAGAAATACGCTGCTTGTGCACTTTGTCGAGGTAGTTCTTACTATGAACAAAGCAAATATATGTAATGAAAAACAGAAATTCTTACTTCATTCATCCTTAACTGTTTATTAAAGACACCTTCTTTTTTGATTTTGGGTTTTTTTTCTTTTAAGGAGGAAGTCAGGAGAGTTACAGATTTGTATAAAATACTTCAGTGGATTGAATACAAAAGAAAACTAAGCAATCTTCTTAATAAGCAGGTAGTTTTATCAAAGGAAATTACTATCTCTCATAAAAGAAATACTACCTTTAATAACATTTGCTTTACCTCTTAAGGTGTGATTTTTTGGCCACCTAACTTTCATTGTTACTGGAACACACCCTTTTTTTGAGTAGTCATGGATTACCCTCCAGCATTTCTGAACACGCTTTCTCTGCTTTCGTAGTCGCTCACTTAGTTTTGTTCCTTAGCTGATGCTGATAAGTGAGTCGATCGATGACACAACAAAAACAAACTGTTCTTACCAGCATTCGACAAAGTTGAAAAGAAAACAAAACTGGAAAAAAATAAGGAGCAAGCATTTATGAAGTGGTTAGAGTCCCCCTCTTCTGCAAGTAAAACTAATCTGCCTTCCGAGTACCGGAGCTGTGTGTGTTTCACATCAACGTCCAAGACGTTCTCCAGTGCTGGCTGGAGGGTCTAATCCTTCCCAGAATGATCCGAGCAGTGCAGTTCAAGAACAAGAATGAATATTTGAATAATCACACCACAATGTGAGGTGACCCTCCGACAGGGGACTGACCAGATACACATATGGATTTTGGGAAGACGCTCTGATGCTCTTTTTTAACACAGCTGTGAGAAGAATGTGGCTAAGACCCAGTAGTCTTTCTGGAGTATAGCTGGCAAAGGAAACCATGAGGAGAAGAGAATTTAACACATGGGTGTAAGAGAGTCCGCTTCATTGATGCGATCTGAGGGGAATGTCTAATGACTGGAAGAATCAAACTTGGCAATGAAAACACAAAGCTCTTTTCATCAATTCAAACGCAGACTCTAAAGCTGCAGATGGTTACCTCCAGCCTTGCCTATTCAGGGCAGGGTTGTATAAAATGGCACTTTGGTGAATACTAATAGATGAAAACAAAGATTTAATAACATAAAGATGTGGTGTTCATTTTTAAATGAGGATACAGGTCAGTGTCTCAGAAAAGAGTGAAATAAGTATCTTTATGTATGGGTCTAAAGTCTCTGGAGATTTTTAACTGCAAACATGATATCTTTAGTGCACAGATTGTATTCAGTACAACACAGCTATGCAGGGAACAGGCTAAAAGCAAGATTTCTGAATTATTATACTAATTGAGCCCCTTTGCAAAATGCAAATGTTGTTAAC